TAAATTCCATGATTTTTGAATCAGACTGCTGTTTTAATCGATAGTATTTTGGGTCCTCCAGAGCCCTGCTCATACTGAGATTCAATTCCTTTGTGAAGACATTAAAGCTTTGTCTACTGGAAAATCTTATAAGTTTTGTAAATGCCTCAGAGAAGCAAATGTTGTAGCCCATGCTACGGCAAAGGTTGGACTTACTAAAAGTTTCAGGTGTTGATTAGAAGTTCTTGTGTTTGTCTTCTATTTTAGTGTCGGTCGAGGGTGTTGTTTAGCTAGCTCCTTTCTTTTTTTTTTGTGTTGTTTCCCTCTTTGTCGTTTATTTTCTGTTTTCAGTTGTAGTTGTTTCCTTTCTGGCTCGTTAATGAATTGTTATTGAACCAAAAAAAAAAAATTGGTGTCTCACTACTCTTGTTTATTGAATGGAAAATATATTATGGAGTGATGATCAGCAAACAATAATATGTATATTAATTCAATTATATGTGACATACTATGGAAATGTGGAGACAAATCCCTTGTATACTAGATGTAAGGCCAAGATCAAATTTGTTGATAACATATTGTAAGATTCATCTTTAGGGTACAATATTAAAATATTTCACAACAAATGTCCCATGCTTTTATGTATCCCAAGGGAGCCACTCACCTAAAACACAATCAATAAGCGTAAACAAGGCAATAAATGCAAATTTCGCATCAAATAGTGCACTAAACCCTATCCAATATCTGTATACAGTTCAGATTTACAGTGCACACAAATGGGTATTATGTGAAAGCACTTCTATGAACAACTTATCTTAAAATTTTGTATAAAGTATAGCTATTTCTATGAACAACTTGATGTCAAAGCTAAGCCAGTAATTCCATCTGTGTTGACACAAGTCAATTGTGCTGGGTTCTCTCTGTAAGTAAGACCCACATCTTCTAGCTTTATATCTTTGCATGGATTGCTCACACTGCAGTCAAATTTCATAGCCACTTTTGTTGTTGATGTTCCCTGAATGTTTCTGTATGTGACTTGATTAATTTTGACACCAGAGCTCTGAGGGAAAAAATAAGGGAAAAAGATGAGAAGAGAGTTAAATCTACTGGATTCAAAAAGGAAGAAGAAAAAAAAAAGCATTTTCCAAGCCAAGAAACCTAGTAAAGCCCAACAGATTGAACATGCAGGTTTGGAACCTTGAGGCATCATCTAGCAAAGTAGCAATCATGGCCCAACCTATGTAGATTTGGGCCTGCCGTGATATGTATGGGCTTCGGTAGCGGTTTCAGGCCAACCCCTTGGAATCATAGATAGGAGGATTGAGAAATGGACTTCTAACTTTTACCTGACTGGGGCATCCTTTGGTGTTGGGACAATAATTTTGATCGATTATTATTGGGTATCTGACGTTCTTCATAATAGCATCCTGAAAAAGAACTTGTTTTGCAAATCCATTGCTGGGTCTGGCCCATGACTTGATCCTAAATCCATTCTGAGTTCCTGTGAACACTACATCTTTTACTGTTACATTCTTTACTCCTTCTTCTACAAGATCCTTGCCCAGACTCCCTATGCTGCAAAACGTACAGTTTAAGAAAAAAATAAGGCTCACCCATAAAATGAAGCCCAAATAGATAGCACAAGGCCCAAAACCTTGGAATCTTGAACTAAAATAACCCATGGCCCATCAGTTCATGGGCCTTCAGGGTAGTGTCACGCACCTTATCCCATGTCCCGGCCCACACTCAATGCTTTGGATCCATAAATTAGTGGCACCTGGGCCAATTGAGATGCAGTCATCGCCGGTTCTAATACTAGTATTTGTAATGGTGACCCCTGATGACATCTGCACATGAATGCCATCTGTGTTTGGGCTTTGATCAGGGGCAACCACTGTCACCTGTTGGACCGTAACATTCTCGCAACCGTTGATCACAATGTGAGAGTTCTTGCTGTTGATGGAAGTTAAGCCGTTGATCACTACATCCATTGCGTAGTTGAATGTAATTGACTGCAGGACCCACATCCCCATGGTTGTTAATTAAGATTTAAGAGTGTGTTAACGAAAAAAGTGAAGGGCAATTTTGTCATTTTATTGCATGTTAATTACACCACGTACGTACCCTGGCTGCAGCTGGGCAGTTCTTCTCGCAAGCCCAGAAGTTTGCTCCCTGCCCGTCGAGTGTTCCGCCATTAATGGACAACCCACTGACCTTGACAAACAAAAGCCAATTACCAGACCCACCAAGCTCTCGATAATCGGAAGGGGCGATCAGTGTCCCGTTCATTTCGATGGTGATTGCAGTATTACTACATGGCCCTCTGAAGACTGCCTTCTTGATCAAGAATTTCCCAGGAGGCACACTGATTGTGGCAGGAGTGACTGAGCTGCAAGCAGAGGCCCAGGCTTTCAGGAAAGATTGAGTCGAGTCGGTTTCTCCATTGGGGTCGGCCCCAAAGTCCACCACACTGTAATTGCCACTTGCTACTAAGGGGAAACAGATGCAGAGAAGTGAGAAAACAACCTTCATGGTCTTCTCCATTTTACAGAGAGGAGAGAGAGATGAGAGATGACAGTTGAGGCGGTTTGGGCTATCTATAGTGATTGGTAGTTGCAGCTTGAAGCAAGCTGATGAGCCTCGAATTTGACAACTAAGAAAGCATTTCCATTAAGGATCCATTGTTGCAGAAGTAGTCTTCCCCAACACTGCTGAGGTTTGCATGACATACAGATGATTGACTTTCCAAATTCATGCACTGGATGTCTTCATGTGACAGTCAAATGTATTACTTCATCAAGAGATCCAAAGTTGTCCTTGATGGAGTATCTTAGGCATTAAACCAGATATTACTCTATCTAAGTTGTGTAAACCAGATCACTAGATCGCCCAATGATTAACCCAGAGACTTGATGAAGTATCTTTTCTTTATTTCTTTCTTCTTCTTTTTTTCCTCATTCTATTTCTTAACCCTTCTTTTCTGTGTAAATTATCTCAACTCCTTAGCTAGGTCTGTTGCTTGCTCACACAACTGATGTTACTCTCCAAAAGTAATGCACTTCTCATCTAAACATAGTAGAAAATATATAGTAATGGGAAGACTGTGTTAGTCAAATTAAAAGAATCAACTAAGGAGAAATAGTGTATCGAGACTAAAAGATACGTCAGATACAGGGCGTATCGTATCAATACTTTGAACCTTGTGATATCTTTATTGTTAAAGTCTCTAATAATAAGTAGTACACCTTATGAAACGTAAAAAATTGAAAAATAAACAAATGTGATATCTTGAAGGTGAAAGGTTGAAATTTTGATTTAATATATATGCCATAAAATTTCTGAAATTAATGCACCTTAATTGGACTCTATTTTATACCATCATACCCTTTTAGGAGTTTTGCAAATGAAGATTTAGGACTTAGGACAGCCTTAACTGTAATCAACTAATGATGTGATTTACAAGGAACTTTGAGAAGCATGCATGCATATACACATTCTTTCCTAGCTAGTTAAGGGTTGATCATGCGAAGGAAAAGTGGTGGAAATACCATTATATTGATTGTTCAACCATGGTGTGGGGCCCATTACCCATGACATATTTAAGTTCTTCCAATTTGCCAAATAAGCAGATCAACCTTGATCAACTGCCAAGCCATTCACCTCTTTCTCTCATTAATTTTTTCTGTGCATTGTATGTAGTCATTACTATTAATAAACCTTCATAACTGTTATTCCAAGAAAACTGTTTCTTAATTGAGTAGTCCTACTTTGACAAATTAACCTAACTTACAGGATGGTTTTTCTGTGTCAACAGACGTTTTATGTCAAGTCATCAACTGATCCTGTTTCATTGAGATGGTATTCATGGATTGAAAGTTGCTTCAGCTTTCAATCTTTGGAACATGCCATCTCTGATAAGAGTATTAACCGTTTAATATGGCCATTTGCCATAAATCCTCGTATTAGACCCTGAAAACCGATACATATATATACGCATTAACACTTTGAACCTTGTCCTTTTTATGCACAGTATTTGTTGATAACATTAATTGCAGTGTTTCAACTGGATGATGACCACCACTAATTCTCATGGTTTTCATTGAAAATAATAACATTATCAGTGAGTGACAGAAGGGTGATAGGGTTTTATTGATTTAAATACATAAAGCTTAGTTTGGGAAAAGTGCTAAATAATTTTATGGATGAAGTTTGAAACTAGGTTTCAACTATGATACTGAAAACGCATGATACCAGAAAAACTTATAACCAATCAACCACTATCATAAAAGGGTAACCAATCAGGTGGTATTTATCAAAATTCACAAAAACTTTTTAATTATTCATCAAAGCCCTTCTCATATATCACGTCTTTCCAGCAGCATAAATTTTCCCTTTGGTGCTTATTGAAAAGAAGTCATGGCTTCACTGTTTAGGGTTTACTTCCTCCCTATTTAGTTAATTTATTTGGTAGTATAAAGAAAGGCTAAATTGTTTAATTTCTTACGAACTTGGGAGAGACATTTATTTATTCATTTGATATAAAAAATAAAATTTAATAAAAGAAAGGAATTTAGGGCGCTTAGAAGCGATAATACGATTATTTTATCAGGTTGACTTCCTCTTTATCCATGTGATATGTGCATATCAAATAAATGTTCCATTTGAAGGTCGCTCTGGGGCATTTTCGAAAAAAAAAGGTCGCTCTGGGGTTGGTCCAGGCCCACCGAAACCAGTTTGGGCCCATAGATCCCATGTTTGATTGAGTTTGAGAATCAAGCCTGAGAGTAGTTTTAAGCATGGTTTTTAAAAACGAACTGGTGACTGAACCGGTCAGGGGTCCGATTACCAATTTTAACGGTTTAATTGTTCGACTCGAACGATTGACTCGTTCTGATAAAAAAAAATAAAAAATTAAAAAATTGAAAAACGGTTAAAACCATTCGAATGGTTCGAACAGTTAACTGACCGATTCAGCGGTTTGCTGACCAAAATCAACGATTTTAGAGAAAAAAATGATTTTAAAGGAAAATAGAACCAGTCAGATGACCAGTTTCCAGTTTTTCTGGTCTGACCGTCCAGTCCAGTCCAATTTTAAAAACAGTAGTTTTAAGTACCCCAAGCTGAAGTGAAGCAAAGAAGGAGAATTAATACATATGAGGTAAAATAAATGATAATATTAAAATTACAGATAAAAATAATCTTGAAATCTATATTATTTATCATATGACAAGGTAGGCTTAAAATTTTCCATGACCTAAACCACAAACCTAACCCGTAAGTAGTAATTACCAAATAATCTCAATGTGGGCCTTGGGACCTTGTCCATTTAACCCACCATACTCAAATCCCTAAAACGGTTAAACCCAACACCCCATTGACACATTGACACGCCCTAGTTTTACGTTTTAACTGGGATGCAAAGACGCGTTTGCTGAATAGAAGAATTTCAACTATATTGGGCTTGGGTTCGGGTTCAGGCCCACTTAAAATTTAATAAATACTCAAACCAAAGTTGCATCTTCAGTTTCACCAGTAGGTGAGGGTGCAAGGCAGGGCTTAAAGTATCACGACTTGCCATACCTTATCATACAATCTAGTGCATATATATACACCTTAAAAAAAGAATGCTAAATAGGGGTGTCAATGACATTCGAAAAACCAATTTCAATTTCGAGATTCAACAAAGTCGAATTGAATTTGGACAATTTGAATGTCATAATCGTCTGAATTCGGATATCTTATTCATATCGTTTAAGTAATTGATGCATTATGAGAT